GACCGTGCTTGTACTGTTACATATATATATACCTGCTCTTGCTTGTCTAGCCTTTTTATATATATGTACTCCTGCATGTGAACTGGCCTTGTGGCCTTGAACTTGTGCTCGGAATGTGTGGTGACTTTGTGATCCACCCTGAGCTTGCTTTGCTTTGCTTTACTTGACTGGTCTTGTGACCCCTTGTTCTCCCCCACTTTGCCTATGGGGGTGTGTCAGAACATTATAGCTCATGCATATTGTGTAGGCTATAGTGGGGTAGCCCATAAGGGGTACAACCCAATTAGGGTTATTACTTGTACTCAATTCATTCATAGTTAATTCATTCCTTGTTTCTTCTCAAGTAGTCTGTGCTCGTCTAAAACCTTAAATACTGCTTCCAGATCTGCTAAGTGCTGCTGCTTGTCCCGACTGTAAACCAGGATGTCGTCGAGGTAAACTATCACGCATTTATCTAAGAGCGGCCTAAACGCCTCGTTCATGGTCATCTGAAAAGTCGCCGGTGCGTTGGTCAGTCCGAATGGCATCACCGTGTATTCGAATGATCCGTATCTAGTCCTGAAAGCTGTTTTGGCGCAGTCCGATGGTTCGACCCTAATCTGGTGGTAACCTCCCCGTAAATCTATTTTCGAAAAAACCCGTGCTGTTCGCAGTTGGTCTATCAGTTCGTCGGCGCGGGGAATGGGGTATCGCGATTTGACTGTTACCCGGTTCAGTGCTCTGTAGTCGATGCACATGCGAAACCCTCCATCTTTTTTCGGTGTGAACAGTATCGGTGCGGCAAACGGTGACGAGCTCGGTCGGATGATTTTTTTCTCTAATAGGTAATCTAACTGCTTCCTCAGTTCGTCGAGCTCGGGTTGTGTCAGTCTGAACTGTCGCTGTACGGTTGGCTGTGCCCCCGGTTCTAACTCTATGCAATGGTCGTGTGCCCGCTGAGGCGGCAGTCCCTCCGGTAAATCATCCGGAAAAATCCCCGGGTATCGTTTCAACAGTTCCTGCAGTTCGGGCGGTACCGCTGCCAGCAGTTTCTGAAAATCACTCGGCTGCTCTGCTTCTCCTATCAATGCTATATCTACTGCGTACACGTCAGCTCTAGCGGCGACAGCCCGTTTCATCGTGACGGCGTTGACGTGGACCGTTGAAGACTCGGGCGACTGCCAGCGAGGTAGCACGACCCAGTTACCGCTACTTCGCACAGTGCAGCTACCCGTCGTCCAGTCAATTCGCGGGTTATACCGTCGCAGCCAATCACGTCCCAGTAGAATGTCGTGCCCATCCAATGTCGTCGCGATTATTTCCTGTGTAAACCCAAAGTTCCCCCCGCAGCGGACCTTTACTCTCTCCACCTTCTCCCGTATGGCCAGCGGCGTTCCGTCCACTAAGCGTGCATCTATTTCCGGTAAACACCGACTAAGTGTCAGTTGCAGCTTCCGTGCGGTTGCGGTATTAACTAAGCTGTGGCTTGCTCCTCCGTCTATAAAGATCTTTACTGCTGCTCCCTGTATTTTCCCGTAAATCAGTACTGGGCAATCCGTCGCTGTACCCTCCTTATTCATCCGAGCCCGATCGATAGCGTGAATCAGTACTGTGACTCGGTGAGGGTCGGTGCGGTTGGGCGAGCAGGCAGTCTCGTCAGTAGTTGGCCCAACTTCTACTGACTGCTGGCGTTTCCCTGCCTCTGAGACTCCCTCCCCTGCTCTGCTCCGCTGCTCTGCTCTGCATTCGCTCTTGCGATGGCCCGGCCTGTTGCAAGCAAAGCAGCGCCCCTTAAACGGCGCAGCAGCTGCATTTGTCGCAACGGCGTGTACAGTGGCGTGCTCGGTCGGTCCCCGAGGACGATGTCCGTAGTAGGACCCCGGTCTCGGTCGGCGTAGAATGTCGATTTTCTCGGCGAGCGCGAGAATCTCGTTGAAGTTCGAGAGTCCGCGCAGCATGATCTCGTGCGAGATATCCGGCTTCAGCCCTCCAACGTAACGGTCCACCCGCTCCGCTTCGTGCATGTAGCCGACTTGCTCGCAAAGTGCGAGAAAACCGCTCGTGTAATCTTGAACCGACCCGAGCTGCCGCCAAGTGCGCAACCTCTGACGCGCCGAAATAGAAGCCGCGATTGGCTCGAAGCGCGCCCGAAGCCCTGCGCACCACGCATCCCACGTGCTGTATTGGGCGGTCTCGCAAAAAGAACTCCAGGTGACAGCTGGACCCGTGGGCCCTTCCTCTTGCGACGGTGGCTCGTAGGCGCGTGGCGACGTCACGATGACTCGCCACCAGTCCATGGCGGGGCCCCTTAGCAGCGAAACGGCATACCGAATCTTCGCTGCGTCCGACTCGACGTAATTCGCGTCGAAGAAGACGTTCATCGTGAAGACCCACGATTGAACCGTCGGACCTCCACGCTGGCTCGGGTCGAAGCAGGGCGGGCGTTGCGGCTTGAGTGGCATTGGTGCCATAATGGCCTGTCCGCCATTTGTCGCTGCAAACTCCACGTGCCGACGGGCTTCGCGAGGCTCCCGCGGGCTTGGCGCAACCCTGCTTCCTCCCATGCCAGGCATTGGTTGGGCGGCGCTATCACTGGCTGCACCTGAGCGCTGTCCCACGCTGTCGTGCTGTGTTGGTGTACCGGACGAGATGATGATTGGCTCGTCCGATTGTGCAGGTGCATTTGTTGGTGCGTGTGGTGCTGCTGGAGTGTTCACCGAAGACTGCTGACGCGCGGAGTCACGTTCCGCCGTGAGCGTCGCTATTTCGAGTGCCGAATCTTCAACTTGGCGCACCAGACGGTCGAGCTGCTCCTGCGTCAAGGTCGCGAGATTGAATTCGGCCATGGTGGGGGTGTCGGGCAAGCTCAGCGAGAGCCTCGGTCGTGGCCGTGCGTGCTTACGAGAGAGCACTACAAGCGGCGGTGCTGTGTCGCTGAGAGACGTCTACCCCCCCCCCAAAAATTGAGATAGTGGGGAAGCGAAGGTGTGGGTGCAGTCCGAGAAGAGATCGTAGGCTCTGAATACCAAGTGTTACGAGTGCAATTGAGTGAGCGAACGAGAACTGCACTATCGAAGCAAGAGTACAATGAGCGAAGGCATGAGCGAAGAATATATAGCGAAACTACAGTGGTAACGGTAATGTGTGGAAAATGGGGTGCGCGACGGGCCTGGTGCCGAGGTTGGGAAAGTGTCGAGGCGGAGGTCCGGAGCGCGGGTTACCAACCGAACCGTGAGGTTGGGTCGCGTCGTGAATGGTGGCGGGAATGGTGTCGAAGCGAGTGTCGCGAGTGGTAACGGATTACTGTTGGGTGCTGTGGGTGGGAACAGTGGTGTACGCGCTGAGCAGGGACGCGAAGTAAGGAAAAGGAAATTTCCTTACACTGATCATGAATCCGCAGGCGCCAGAAACCTCGATATCTCCATCACCACGGGAATGAATTTCTCCGTCCCCTTCGATGCTTTGAACCATCACCCCACTTTTGACTGATTCCAGAAGCAGTATTTTACTGCGAAACACAAGTTCATGCTCAACCTCCGTCATAATCGTCCGTCGTTGCCGCTGCTTCGCGTCAAGTGGAATATTCTGCAGCGGATAAGAGCACGCGCGATTGGATACGCAGTCGATTGAAGCCACGTGGTTGTGAGCCTACGCTAATCCACGGAAAGCTACCGGGGAGCCGACTGGGCTTTCAAGTGAACGCACTTGCAGCTGATCATAAGACAAAGCAAAATTACGCCTTTTCTGCCGATCGCGGTGATGATTTGTATTCTCCGAGTCTTCTAGCTTGCGAAGTCGCATTGTCACTGAGCCGGATTCAGCCTGTCAGCACCAGCACCCATTCTCAATTCGTGAATTCGTGAATCTTTGTCTCCACATAGGGGACAGAGCAACACCAGCTGCCATGTTAGCACCAGTAACCACCCCAACGGCAGCAGCAGCAGCAGCACCGTCAGCAGATGATTCACCACAAACAGCAGCGCCATCAGCAGCAGCAACAGATGAACCATCAGCAACAGCCACACCTACCACCCCAGCATGTCCCAGTACATTTGAGGCGTCTCAGAAATCCATTCCGTCAGCCACACCAGCACTGTCAGTAGATGATTCACCACGGACAGAAGCACCATCAGCAAGGGCAACACATGAACCATCAGCAGCAGCCACGCCTACCACCCCAGCATGTCCCAGTACATTTGAGACGTCTCAGAAATCCATTCCGTCAGCCACACCAGCACTTTCAGTAGATGAGTCACCACGGACAGCAGCACCATCAGCAAGAGCAACAGATGAACCATCAGCAGCAGCCACACCTACCATCCCAGCGTGTCCCAGTGTCGGTCCCTTTCATGCCTACTCTCTCCGTTTCTTCTCCTCCACCTCGAGTTCCGTTAGTGGAGATGCTTATAACGGGACGTGCAGCACAGAGTGCTTTTCCGGGTTCATGCTGCTGACGGCGCCTGCCATTGGCCCGCTGGATGCTGACGTGGCACACATGGAAGTCCCCCTTTGCTCCAAGTATTTTAGCGATTGCGCTCCTCCTAGAGCGGCCGCTCATGCCCTTACTACAGAAGTTGCGCCTGCTGCTACAGCTTCGGGACCCGCTGGCAGCACCTCTCCTGGGGTTCCCCAACCCCCCTCAGTTGCTTCGGGATCCGTCCGCCTCTCCCCTCTTGGAGCCCTTGCTCTCTCGCCTCAACAGGTCAGTCGCGCTCAGACCAGGCAGGCGCTTCAGGTGTTTCAGGTGGTTCGGTTAATTCAGACGCTTCAGTTCGGGTGATTCAGATGGTTCAGGTGATTCAGATGGTTCAGGTGATTCAGATGGTTCAGGTGATTCAGATGGTTCAGGTGATTCAGATGGTTCAGGCTATTCAGATGGTTCAGGCGATTCAGATGGTTCAGGCGATTCAGATGGTTCAGGTTCAGGTTCAGGTTCAGGTTCAGGTTCAGGTTCAGCTCATGCAGGTGTCAGAATGCGTCAGCTGCTCATTCAGATGTCAGAGCGCATCAGCTCTGCACCC